GGTATACTAACACACATTTCTCCTGAACGCTTGAATGAAACACAGCAATCATTTCCCTCGCGCATTTCTACCTGGCTCCCCCATCTTACCATTTTATTTCACCTTGAGACCCAGGAACGGGCGTATTTTGCTGATGTCTCCTGTTGAACAAGCCTAAATGTTCACGCCTAACAATGCAGAGCATCATTAGGTTTTGCTTTTTTTACCTCTGATTCCCTGTCAAAACTGACAGACTGACAGCCAACCAAACAGCCCCTTAGCAACACAGATTCCGTATTTTGCTGATGTTTTCTGTTGAACAAGCCTAAATGTTCACGCCCAACAATGCAGAGCATCATTATGTTTTGCTTCTTTTGCCCCTGATTCCCTACCAAAACTGACAGCCAACCAAACAGCCCCTTAGCAACACAGATTCCTTACGTCGGAGAAAGGACATTATCAGAGTTATACAACGGTAGCATGTCCAAGAAGGGGCCATGTACACAGTTCAACAGTATCCCATTTTTTAAATAGCAAACATAGCAAAGATGCATTCTTTCTCAGCAACGCAGACGCGTATTGGAGAAATAACACAAGAAATACTACTGAGAAAAAAAATTATAAAGCTTGCAGTTGCACCATCATACTATATTAAAGAAGCAAAAGGATAAAAGTATAACAAAATTATCCAGCGTAACTACGTGGCTAGAGAGCAGCTAGCAGTAAAATATAATAGATCACTACTAAATTGTTCACCAAAATGGCAACGTTAACCACAGATACCAGGAGGAAGAAAACCTAATTCATTAAAATCTTAATCGACCTCCTCCATCTTGCTGCCCTCAGCATCAGCATCCTCAAGAGGAGGCATGTCAGTATCGGCATCAGCAGCAGTCTCATCCTCGTCAATGCTCAAGCCCAACTTAAGCATCCTGTGGATCCTGTTGCCGAAGGTGTTAGGGTCGTCGAGGCTGAATCCAGAAGTCAACAATGCAGTCTCGAAAAGCAGCAGCACAAGGTCCTTCACCGACTTATCATTCTTGTCAGCCTCTGCTCTCTTCCTCAATTCATCCATGATTGCATTCTCCGGGTTAATCTCCATGGTCTTCTTGCTCGACATGTAACCAGCCATGCTTGAGTCCCTCAATGCCTGAGCCTTCATGATTCTCTCCATGTTGGCAGTCCAGCCGTACTCTCCAGTGACTAAGCAGCAAGGAGAGTCGACCACTCGGTCAGAAACCACGACCTTCTCCACCCTGTCACCGAGCACCTCCTTGATGACCTTGCAGAGCCCCTCGAACTTCTCCTTCAGCTCTTCCTTCTTTTTCTTCTCATCCTCGCTCTCATCAAGCTTCAATCCCTCCTTAGTTGCAGACACCAACTTCTTCCCCTCAAATTCCTTCAACTGTCCCACTGCATACTCATCAATAGCATCAACCATGTAGAGCACCTCAAAGCCCTTCTTCTTCAGCTTCTCAAGGAATGCGGAGTTCTCAACAGCCTTCTTGCTCTCGCCGGTGATGTAGTAGATGTCGCTCTGGCCCTCCTTCATCCTTGTCACATAGTCCTTCAAGCTGGTTAATTCATCACCACTCTTGGTGGAATGGTACCTGAGGAGTTCAGCTAACTTGGGCTTGTTCTGCGAGTCTTCGTGTATACCAAGCTTGAGGTTCTTGGAGAACGCCTCGTAGAATTTGTTGTAGTCTTCCTTGTTCTCAGCAATCTCAAAGAAAAGCTCAATGCACTTCTTGATTAGGTTCTTGCGGATGACCTTCAGGATCTTGTTCTGCTGAAGCATTTCTCTGGAGATGTTGAGGGGAAGATCCTCAGAGTCAACAATACCCTTGACGAAGCTTAACCATTCAGGGATGATCTCCTCGCAGTTGTCCATGATAAAAACACGGCGCACGTAGAGCTTGATGTTGTTGGGTTTCTTCTTCGTGTCAAAGAGATCAAATGGAGCCCTCTTGGGGACAAATAGAACAGCCTTGAACTCAAGCTGACCCTCCACAGAAAAGTGCTTCACTGCAAGGTGTTCCTCCCAATCATTGGTGAGACTCTTGTAGAAGGCAGCATACTCTTCCTTGGTGATCTCTTCAGGCTTCCTCATCCAGATTGGCTTTTGCTTGTTGACAAGAGCCCACTCATGGGAAACCTCCTTGATCTTCTTCTTTTTCTTCTCTTTCTCTTCCTTCTCCTCATCAACATCTTCCACCTTGCCTTCCTCGTCTTTCTTCTCTTCCTCCTCATCTTCATCGTCAGAAATTTCTTTCTCAGTGGTCTTCTCTGTCCAGAGAGAGATTGGGTAGCTGATGAATTCAGAGTGTTTCTTGACCAGATCCTTGAGACGACGCTCCTCAAGATATTCCAACTGCGGGCACAACAAACAAAATGAATGACAAGATCAACAACAAAAGCATTGGCAAGAATAATAATTTTGTGAACCCTGGAAACAAGGGGTGTAACCCAAGTCAGGCAACATTCAGAGTATACAGAAGTAGAGGCAAACAGTAGAGGCAAACAGTTAAAAGAAAGCATGTTAGGTATTCCTACCGGAGTGCAAATTCATGACAGTCTCAAATGTAAAATTAAAACACAGGGTAAACAAGAAGTGATCCATATTTTTCACTATAGAACGTACAAAATTTCAGAAACAGAAAAAAAACACCTTTCCCTTAAGAGAACAAAGGTTATATTTTGGGGGAAACAGATTAACACGTTCACGTGTATGAGCAACCTAGTCCTAAGACCCAAAAATTCTCGAGTTTTCTCCCCATGATATACCCTAGATGATGCTCCAATAAGGCAGCAATGTTATCCGACAATATTATAACAAAACATATTGTAATTAGAGATGCTAACATAAGGCAGCCTTACCGTCAAAAAGAACTACTTTATAGCATATGTGCTATTTCTAAACAACTCCCCCAGAAAAAAACGCACATGCACCCAGAACTATTGATTGTCCAACAATAACACGCAGAACTATTGATGCTCCAATAAGGGAGCAAGGTTAACAAACAGTATTATAACATAGCATATTCTACCTAGAAGATGTTAAACTAAGGCAGCCTTGTAGTCCAAAAGAACTACTGCATAGCTTATGTACTCTTTCTAAACTAAAAAAAACACCCCCACAGAACTATTGACTTTCTAACAATAACTGTCT